TTGGACTCGACACCAAAAGAACAACCCCTAAAAGGAAAAACTGGCAACGAAGACTTTATTGAAACTAAAAACTTTTGTGTTGTGAAAGCTGGTGTGGAAAGGATGAAGACGAGCTACAAAGTGGGAAAGATGCTGTAAACCGTATATACGACAAAGGACTGGTACCTAGAATTCATAAAGGATTCTCAAAACTCAACAGTCAGGAAAACAATGCAAAGAGAAAAGGGACAAATGACATGAACAGATGTTTCTTCAAAGAGAATAAACAGATGGCAAATAAGCACATGAAAAGGTTTTAACAGCATTAGCCTCAGGGAAATGCAAATTAAAATTACAAAGAGCTAGTACTACAAACCTAACAGAAGGACTCAGTGGGAAACAGTGAAAATAAGCAGTGCTGGGAGGATGTGGGGAAACTGGATCACTCATGCTTGGCTGGTGGGAGTGTGAAACAGGCTGCTTGTGCACTGACAAACTAAACATGCAACTACCACACGACCCAGCAACTGCAATCCTGGGCATTTATCCCAGAAAAATGAAAACTTATGTTTGCACAAAAACCTGTAATGCAAATGTTCACAGTAGCTTTCACTGTAATAGCCAAAAACTGGAATCAGCCCAGATGTCCTCCAACAGGTGAATGGTTAAATTGTGAACAAAAACATGAAATGCTACTCAGCAAAAAAAAGAAACAAATGATTGATGTAAGTAGTAATCTGGATGACTATGCAGGGAATTATGAGTGAAAAAGGCAAATCTCCAAAGGCTACATGCCACGTGGCTCCATGTACAGAGCTTTTCTGCTTCATAATGACCCACATCTGCAGCGACCAGCCCAGGGAAGTCAGGATCTGGTCAGTGACCACCAGCTTCCCTATTTTGTGTTCATACTTTCAGCTCAAAACCCACCAGAGAAAGCCAAATACGCTCCCCAAACCAATCACCAAAACTGTCCTGTTTTGGCAACCTGCCTCCAATCACAGCACCACTGGAACCTGTAGGGCCCTGGTGAAAAACCCATGTTCTGGACCCAACTCCACCTGGAGGAGGGGGAGAAGCACTTGAAAAGGTGCCATCCTGGAGACCCAGGGCAGTGGGCCTGCCCTAGGCTGGGGCGTCATCAGAACATCAGCCCCACCAGCAGCAGGTTAACAACCCTCGAGTCACACAGTCGACTGCCGCTAGAAGGCTTACAAGAGACAGACTCTTGAGATGTGGCCCAAACAGATGACCTAAAGTGAAGGGGGGAGCAGACATTAAGAAAAACCCTTTGGCAAACCAGCCCCACCCCAAATGCAAGGCATCTACTGAACGTGAACCCTGGGGTGCACTGAGGATGACCACATGCCAACAGCCCCAAGCACAGCCCAACCCACGCCCAGATTAACACCTTCTTACTGTGCTGAAGACCACCCCACACTAAAGGCCTAGTGGAAGGAAAGGTGTAGCAATTTGCAAGCACCCAAACTACTGAACCCAGTTTTTATCGTTCAACACAGGATGTCCAATTTTCAACGAAAAGATCAGAAAAACCACCATGCTCTAGAGACAAAACCATCAACAAAACTAGACTCACATATGACACAGATGAAGGAATTATACTACGAAGTATTTAAAATAACTATGATTAATATGTTAAAGGCTCCAATGGAAACAGCAGACAGTACATAATATCAGATGGGAAATTCAGCAGAGAGATGGAAACTGTAACACAGAATCAAATAGAAATCCTAGAAATTGAAAAACGCAGGCAAAATGAACAAGACAGACAAAGAATGCCTTCAATGGGCTCACAAGTAGATGTGACACAGCTGAGGAAGGAATTAATAAATCTGAGGACAGGTCAATAGAAATTACTCAAACTGATGGACAAAAAGGAGACTTGAGATGTGACAACTAGGTGCAATGCATGATTCTGGACTGGATCCCGGACCAGGAAAAAAACAGCCATAAAGAATATTATCGGGGCCGGGCACAGTGGCTCATACCTGTAATCCTAGCACTTTGGGAGGCCAAGATGGGAGGATTGTTAGAGGCCAGGAGTTTGAGATCTGAGCAAGAGCAAGACTCTGTTTCTACTGAAAACAGAAAAAATCAGTCAGGCATGGTGGCCAGCACCTGTAGTCCCAGCTACTCAGGAGGCTGAGGCAGGAGGATCACTTTAGCCCAGGCGTTTGAGGTTG